TAAAGCGAAGGTTAGTTGTAAAACCAACCTTTAAAGGAACACTATCATGTTTGCTAGGCTAATCGGTAACCGTCATGTTTATAATTGTAAAAGAGAGTTTATTTCGATACGAAATCTCACCAATAATACACTCAATTCAATCAAGAAATTCGATACAACTATGTTACGAAGCGAGAATATGAACCTCTGAAAGAAGAAATGAATCAGACAAATTTACTCGTATGGTACAAGTGTAGTATTTGCACTTTATTTTCAAAAACCGTGATAAATAACGCGAAATGGATAAAGAATATGACTGCCTCAGATTTAAATAAGATTGATGGTGAAGGAGACATAAGGATGTGAATCTGCATCGCCTGCAAAGCCACCAACAATGCCTCCATCGTCCTCGGTTTTCCAGTATGTGCTGCATATTTTACATATAAGACGACATTATAAACCATCCAAAATTTTATGCCATGAAATGATGTGGTTGGCATGTAAAGGTCTCCAGACCATCACACACGGGCGTCAACACAATGGAAGACTAGAGAGAAGGTTAAGTACAAACAATAGCCCTAAAATTATGCATAACTAAAATCAAAACACAATGGCAGACTCGAGAGAAGGTTAAGTACAAACACTAGCCCTAAAATTATGCGTAACTAAAATCAAAATGATAAAGAAAAAACAGCCATTTATAACACTTTATGGGGATAATTGCAATTTTAGATGATTAGATGTTCTTGATATTAGGATAGAGCCCAGGGGTCATTTTGCAATTATTCATGACAACAATAGACTTGAAATTTAGTCGGATTACAAAAATCTCTTATTATCCTTCAAACTTATAAATATTTATAAAGCCACTTGTGGTTTGCATCTGCTCAACACACCTGAGTACTCTAAGAGACGGGTTTTGTAAACCAGAAACAAATATTAATTTCTAAAGTTCATTATAATTGACTGGAATTTTGTACTTACCAAAATTACCAGTTAAAATTTAGTCCCACAATGATGAAATAGCCAGAACTCTACTACAAAGTCATGAAGACCCTAACCGGATTAAAAAAATAAAATAAAAAACAGAAAAGCTCATACGAGACAAAACATTAGTACCTGCTTGAGCTGCTGCAGAGTCCCTCCAGTATTGAACGGACTTTCTTTTCACTCTTCAATGACGGTGACAATACAACAGACTGAAATTGAAGATTGACTAACCTCTTAATGCTAGGAACTTTAATTCAGTATATGCATCCAATAATGAAAAGACAAAAGAAACAATGCAGAAATTATGGGGTTTTGGGAGTAATTTTACCAGAAATGAAGGGGGCAGACCATAGCGCAGGATGCTTTCACTAAAAACACGTACAGCACAAAAGTGCATCCATGAGCTAAAAACCTGATGGCATAAATGATGGTACAAAAAAAAATTATGCTTAATACATGCAAGGCACCTCAAACAAGCAATGCAAAGCATTTTTCTTTCCTCTTTTCTCCATACAATTCCATTTATGTGTGTATGTTTGGGGCATGTATATTCAACTTTGATTTATTGTTTCAAGACAATGGAAGAGAGACAGACCTTTGAAATTAATTGAACTTATCCGAATATAATTGTATCCTACTTATCAAAATAAATTAGTGAGATATAGGCCCATTAGGATACTATTTAATAGTGCATTAAGACAACATAGGAATTCAGTTTTTGGTTCTATGCATAAGGCTGACGTTTTCGCAAGATGAACCTCGTGTTGTTCTGCTTCTGTATGTAATAACAGCAATATCCTACATTTTCTGGGTCTTGCTTACCCTTGACTGTACTTGGGGCAGAGGGAGAGGGAGATTTAAATTTCATCAACAAATAAGAGGAGGGAAAAGATACCTCGCCATAACTGACATAGCACCATTGCAACAAAGAGCTTCTCAATGATTCCTGGTCTGCCGCCAGCTTTTCAATCTCCTGCTTCCGACTTTCTTGTGTTTCTGAGTTATATTCAAAATCACGAATCTAAAACAAAAAAAGAGAAATGAACCTATTATTAACAGGGAATTCCTCCAGAACACTCGGCATATACAGCAGCAAGATATTCTAGAAAACAAGAAAACAAGAATGAAACATATGTAGAACTCAAATTATTATCATTATAATTATGATGGTGATGGTGACGTATTAGCTACTACTTCTACTAAAAACAACAATAAAATAGTGAACAAAATTTGGAGGCCCCAAAACTCACTTGAAAATTCCTTTCGCGTGCCTTAGTTCTGAAATTGTCAGCATCACGGCTAAATAAGGTTACGGAATAAAGAGCATATTCATTGTCCTCGTGGAGCTTCTTGGAGGATCTTGGGACCTAAAACAAATAGTTCAATCAAAAGGTGATGCTTTCAATTAAAAATAAATTAATATATTCAATAAAACTAAATAAAGTTTATGCCCACGTAGCCAGCATAATCAAGTATGTTATGTTATGTAAGTACTTAAAAAGGACAAACCACATAAGTTGTCAGTGTCTCGTAGCTTGATAACCAATCTTTTTGGGTGTACTTTGGAACAATAGCAAGGAGGGTTGTTAAGTGTTCTGAACTAATGATGTCTTCTGGCTTCACCAAATTGGAAAGGTCACGAACAGCTAAACTGCAGCAGAAAATTATTTGGATGAACATGTTCAAGTGTCTAGATTCAGACCATCCTGATATTTCTTTTATTTTGCTCACATGGAGGAAATAAAAGCATATTATAATGATTAACCTTAAAAGTTTCTAAAATAAGGGAAAAGGCAAAAGGAAAAACATATTATCACCGGGGCACTACTCAGAAATTCAAATTTAGACTAGTTGCATACCTTCCACCTTGTTTTCGGTTAATTGCATTTAGTTGGCTGCGTATATTGTTATATTCAGCAATACGAACCTGCAAGGTAAAGTTGCACGGGTTTGAACTACTCAGAAGTTGGTAAAACATAATACAGTGAGATAGGCCCAATGTCCAGAAATATATATAATTTTGTAGCACACAATGATAAAGAAAAGAAAAAGGGCTAAACAGAGCGGCCAAGTACTGTAATAAAGAATATCGAACATATGCAGGAAATCATGCACTTTGGCAGATTTTAATAGAAATAGCCAGCAAAGTTTGCAATAACAGTATCATTTGATGGTGACAGTTTTGACCTTTTCAAATTTCAACCAACGATTACATAATGCATCAGTTTTGCACCAGAGGTGAGGAAGGGTATTGCTAACGTAAATTGACCAACCCAAGCAATAGCACATGATCCCGCAATTAACTGCTAAATTACTCTCATATTGAGGTTTAAATTTATAGAAAGGGCAGTAATTTTTTCCAGTTTAGATATCATCATGAGAAAGAACAGATGCTTATAACTGAATTATTTCAAGAACTTGATTTCTTGAATTTTTTTCTCATTCATACTGTTCACAAATAGAACAATGAAAGACACAACAAAATTCTACTATCCTAACCAAGTTAAACTTTGTTTGTGTCCCCAACAGAATTAAGGGAAATAAAAATACAAGCCACGTCACAATTTAGTTAGTAGACAACAAAAATCTAGTTGACAAAACGAGGAGTCTCCAAATACCCAACTGCAATTGTCTAGCATGTTCACAAAATGAACCTTGAAGAAGAATTTATATATCACCAGTGGCGAAATTCAATCTAAACAAAATACGAGAGAGAATATCAGTCACGGAAGAGCAACTTACCTTGAGATCATCCTCAATTTTGGCGATTTGAACATGAATCCCATCCACAATCTCCTTCAGTGGTGACATTGTTGGATACTTGGCCTCATCCCATACAAACCTAAACGGATCACATTTTTTTCCTTTTTTTCAAATACAATTACTCGCATGATTGCTACGCTGGTAAAAACAATGTCAAGGAAGATTGAATCGACAAATCACCTCGTGAGGTAAGAGTCAACAGGAACCCCATCGACGGTAAGAGAGCTACTAACGACCCCTGAGACCCTCTCCAATTCCTCAATCTGTCTTCGGATTTTGTGCGACACTCCTTCAATAAAGTTGTTTGCCTACAACACCAATCCAATAAAAGCATTGTCTTCAAAGTTAATCAATACAATAAAAACTATCTATCATCTCCTCAAGAGCCAGGAAAAATGTAAAGCATATGAGTAAAAAGACTTTCAAACACAACACCTTCAGAAGATCATCACTTAAAGCCAACAATGAATCCAACGTCCCAACACGCAGATTTGGAATGTTGAACTGCAAAGCGCAATAAAATCGAAAATTCATTATCTAAAATAGAAAAACGACATATGGAAAGCATCATCATTTTCTAACATCAGATCCGCTATCAACAATGGCAACATTTATAAGCATGCAAAGTCAAATTACTCTGTAAAGAGGGGTGTCAAAGGCTTGCTTGGAGATGGATTCTTGAAGACGACTCCATAAAGAGGACGACGATGAACCCTGGCCGACGGGGAGGGATGCCACCCAGTAACGAGTCGCCATTGTAGCCAATATTTCTGGTTGATCAATTATCAAATTACTATTGCGAAAAAAAGAAAAAATCAATAAAATGGACAATTTATTTGGGGAAAATCTGAAGGCTGGTGGAAAGTAAGTTGGACTAATAATAGCGTCCTCTTTAGCTGCGCTTAGAACCCTAAATTCTCTAATTTTCTTCGAAAAAATTCGTTCTAAAAAGCAAACCCAAACAGACAAGAAGTTATATCGGCACGATTCCGATCAGCCACGCCTGAACGTGAATTGAACGGATCGGAAAAGCAAAACCTTTTCATGCGTAAAAACAATGGTTTTCTTACCAGTGAGAAAAGAACCAGATCGGATCGAATGAGAGCTGCCTGAGAAGAGAAAAAAAAAAAAACTATACAAACCCAAAGACATGATAGGATATAATTGTTTTTATATTTTCCATTTCCTCATAAATAAATATATAATATCTATATTTATATTATTATTATTATTATTATTATCTATACTTATATTAAAAGGGATTCTATTTACTAAATATAATAGTTAGAAAAGTCAAACTTAATTAATAAATTTCTAATTTTATCAAGTATTTAATTAATGAATCTAATATTTTGGGTATTCAAATCAAATTTCCTAAAGTATTGGGTATGTAATATTAATTTAGAAATATCCATGTAGTTCCTAAAATGTTGGTATGCAACACGTAAAAGAAGATTTTTTTATTTTTTTTTTAAATATAAAATATTGCAACACGTAAAATTATTCCAGATATTTTTTTATTTTATTTTACATATAAATCTAATCAATATTTAATGCATTCTACAAAATTGGATTTAGTTTAATTCTTCATACAATTGGTTGTAACTTTTTCAGTTGTACTTTTTTATTTATTTATTTACACTTTTAAATTAATGAAGCTCTCCGAAAATACCAAATCAAATGATTTATGATTTTTTTTTAATTTTAAATCTATATACCCAGCTCATAAAACTCATTGCATAAATATGGACGAGTTTAAGAAAATTTCATAACCCTACTTACGAAATTCCATCTCCACGAGTCAAAAAAATCACATACCTCATTTATCGTAACAACTTTAAATATAAATAAATATAATTCTAATTACTACTATAAATCCATTATCTATTTAGATTTTTTAAAAAATCTAAATTTCACATGTCTAATTACTAATATTTTAGATACTTTTAGGTATTATTTGGTTGGAGGTAAAAGGAGGGGAGGGGAGGGGAGGAGAGGGCTTTTTTTACTTTTCCCTTGTTTGGTTGGGATAATTGGATAGGAGGGGAGGAAAAATTTTAACTTAAAATCCCCTCCCCTCTCCATTTTTGCTCCCCTCCAAAAATGGGGGAATTTGGAGGGGAGGGAAATGTTTAGTACATAAAGTTACAATTTTACCCTTACTGAATATAATGTTTTAGTTTTTTATTTCTAACATCATTAAGGATAAATTTGTCATTATAACATTATTTTCCCTCCCCTTCCATTTTCTAACCAAACAAGGTTTACTATTTTCCCTTCATTCCCCTCCTACAAAATCCCTCCAAACAAGGTAAAATTATTTTACATCACCTCCCCTCCTCTCCCTTTCCTTCCATTAAAATCCCTCTCCTCCCCTTCCCTCAGATGAACCAAATATAGCCTTAAATATTATTTGTATAAATTTGTTTACACAGTTGCTCTCTATATATATATACATATATGGAGGTTAAATGAAGAATTTTTAGACATGTTTTCTTATGGGTAGTTTAAAAAAATTTAGGTAGCTTCAAACATTGTTTGTGAATAATATATAATATTTTAGATGTTTTTATAGATGTTATAAAATATTTTAAGTATTTTTAATATTTATATATCACACTTAGAAAGAATATTTTTTCCAAAAAAAAAACATTAAATACACATTGTAAATGTTAATAGAAACAGTCTTCAGTGTTCGTTTTGATCTCAATTACATATAATATTTCTTTCTATTTGTCACATAATTTTTGGTGTGCATTAAACTCGATTTGTATTTGTAAAATTGATAGCTTTTGCATTAATTTCAACTTGCATTTGTAAAATTGATAAATTGTTAAGCGTACAAATTCCTTCTTATGGTAACAACTTAAAAAAAATGATAGTAATTTTTGAAATATTGTGTAGTTAAATCTTCATATGGAAGTAACATCATAATTATGGTATCTTATAAATCTTCTCTAAACTTTAGCGTGAGACATTAGGCTTATAATATTTTAGATACTTAAACAAAATGTTCAGACATATTTATTTACATATTCTATCTATATGTACATATATATATATATATATATATATATACTCACATATATATAACACATGTTAAGTTTAATTATTTTTAGACATGTTTTCTTTACAAAATAGTTTAAAAAATCTTACATGCGCATTTATACTTACATAAAAAGACATTCTATTTACTAGAATTAGTGATAAGAAAAGTCAAAGGTAATTAATGCATTATATTTCCATCAAATATTTTATTTAATTATTTTAGTTAATTGTTTTATTTCATAACACCTTTTCAATACAACTTAACATGATTTTTCTATTGTGATTAAAAACCAAATTTTACGTTTAAAATTTTGTGAAATTATTATTATTATTTTTATAAAGCACATGTTATTTGTTAAAAAACTTGTATATATATAATATACATCACAGTGCCATGGTAGATGATTTAAATTTCAACCGACCAAAATGCCAATGATTTAAATTTGAACACACCTATGCGTTTGACCAAATATATAGATGATTTAAAATTGAGCCCATAAAGAATTATTTAAATTTGAACACACCAGAAATTTTATGTACTTTTTATTTATAAATATATTGAAAGTGGTATTTAATGGCTGTTATATAAATTATTTTAATATATTTGCAATGAATAAAAGTTTGAATGAATAATTTATAATGTTATTCATAATGTTTGTGACTTATGAGACACGAACACATAACTCCATACATATTTGCCAGATGGCGGCTTAATAATTTTTTAGACTTAACGTTGATTAAAAGAGGTAGAAAATAGATAATAACATTATTAATTTTTAGACTTAAACGGACAAAGCTGTGAAAATGACTCATTTAATATCTTTGTCTCGTGCATCACACGGGGTACGTACTAGTCTATTATTTAAAGAGAGAAACTATTTACAACAAATAGTAATAAAAAAATCAATCATCATTTATTACATTCTATTTTTGGCAGTTTTTGAAATTTTCTTTTAAAGTACTCTCAACAAATCGATCTATTATATATGCACTCTAAATTCATGAGTTTTGTGAATTTAGTTTAGGTAAATTTCGACTGATACTTACAATTTTGCAAAAGTCAAAATTATTTACAGTTTTTATTAAAAAAAAACGGATTACCATAAAACTGAAAATTTCAAATTAGGCAAAATACATCACATATATCTTTTTCTAATTGCGATAGATCAATTGTTTATTAAAAAAAATAAGATTGCATAGAAATCGGATTAATTTAGGTAAAATTTGACATGACAATTTTGTAAAATTCAAAAGTTTTTCATTTTTTATTAAAAATTTATTTACCATAAAATCAGAAATTTCGAATTAGGCAAAATACTATAACACGTATCTTTACCTAATTGCAACATATCATGTTTATTAAAAAAAATCGGATTGTATAGAAATGAAACTCAATTTCAAATTGAAAATTAAAATTTAACAATCCTTTATCATTTGACTATTATTTTCTTTAGTTCGGATTTTTTTTAAACATAAAACAAAGTCAGATAATATTAATTTGAAATTTAAAATGAAATCAGATTGGAACATCCTAAAAATTGAGTTTTGTTTAATCCTCTAGAATACAAATTTGAAATTGATTGCATACACTTACACAATTTTTCTTCCTTAAATTAAGTAATTTATAATTTTTAAATAATAAGGCTCTAGATTATCAAGAAGAAGTTTTACAATCTTCTTTAAATTTGACTATGCAATTTTCATAAAACCCAGTATAAATCATATCATATATATCATGTTAAATAATATAATTAATTTATTTAAGCCTGTCTAAAATCCTAATATAATTTGGGGCGATAGAAGATGTACCAAAATACCAAACAAATAATGTTGTGTACAAGGATATGTTTAATAATATAGATGGTACATATTCTTTTATTCCAATACATGTGTTTTACGTTTTTCCAAAAGAAGCCCTCCCCCGGTGTGCATCCATAAGACTAGGGGACCACATAGTCAAAGTCAGTTTCCAATATGAAAAAGTGGTAAACTTGTGTCACTGTTGAGGGTTTATAGGACATTTAGACAGGGATTGCTCAAAAAGATTAGAGGACATCAAGAAACGCTCAGTGAAAGATGGCCAATATCGTGATTGGATGAAGGCAGTAGAAAACTCCAATTGGATTACAGTCAACAACTCAGGGTCTAAACAATCATCAAATTCAGGGTAATCAACTACACCAGCTGCAGAACCACAACAACAAGCTTCATCCAGTCACCCAACTGCCAGAAATCAGATAACTTCAAGTCCAACTGCTTCCTCAACCCAAATGAGAGCAGACACAATTGCATCTAACTCCATGATAGAAGAATCCAACCTCAACACAACAATTGTCCATAATTACACTCAACCAGAAGAAGGTGACAAAGAAATTGCAGAGGTGGAGCAGAGTAATGTGGAGGAGAACCAACACAGGAACATGGAAATTGAGACAATTCCAGTCCCAATGCTAAGAATATCCAATCAAAATTCCAAGGAAATAAATGAGGATCTTTCAGCAAGCACAATAAGGACCTGGAGGAGAGAAAACAACAAGTCAGGTAGACTTCAAAGGCAAGACTCTCTACCACTGTTCGCCTATATTTTTAAAGCTCGACCGCAAGTGTACGGCTTCGCTCGTAG